TATGTCATTAGAAAGCAGCTTTATGGTAAACCCAGAGATGGCAAAGATACAAAGGAATAACAGAAAGACAGGTGAGTGGGTTTAACAGGAATTAATAAGCTTAATTTTAAACTTAAGGATGTGTCAAACCAGATTTTAAGTAATAGCTGTTGCACTCTGCTTGGTTTACAGAGTTTACCGTTAGTCACCGCTGCACACTCCACAATAAATATAAGCTTTCATTATTAAGTCCATTTTTCCATCACGCTGGGCTGGAAAGTTTCCAAACAAGTAGCTGAGAAGATTTCCTGAGTTCAGACTGAAGCTTATGAAACGCAACAGCAGTGGGGCCCAAGTCTGCAGTCTGGGGCGGTTAGGGGAACACGAAATTACACAACGTTTGTGTCACAGAAACTCTCACTGAAGAATCTCCACCTGCAGGTTCTGTCTTCTGTCACTGCCCGCAGAGAAACAAGTTACCACATAGTTCAATAACAAATCACTTTCCAAGAACAAACATGCCGTTTTTAAAGCTTTTTGATCTTGTTTTGAATGTCACTTATCTACTTATCCTTTCCTATATATATATAAAATATATAGAAATATATCAAAAGATGGATATTGAAGCATTTACAGCTAGCTAAGGAACGTAGAAGCTACTTATATTATATATTTTGTGTGCTCCTTGTGTGCTCTTACTACTGTCATGTGCGCTGCAACACTTAAATTTCCTCACTGTGGGACGAATAAAGGATCTCTTATCTTATCTCTTTTAATTTCCACAGCTTTTGAGGCCCCGTTTAGACGGAAGCGCTTTGCAGACAGAAGCAAATAACAGAAACGGCCAGGCTCCTTATGCAAATTTCACAATAAAGGATGTAGTTCTAGCGCCCGGCCAGTAGTGGGCAGTGGAACTTTAAAACACGACACACGCAACCCGCAGCAGTAAACTCACTTCCTCAACAACATCCTCCTCGGGCCACTGCAAAGACATGAAAGAATGCACCAACATCATTCTGCATTTAACAGCAGCTGCGAAAATGGAAACTGAAACTAGAGCTTTGCGTGGTTTCGTTTGGACGAACAAAAGAGTTATCCTCCGTGTAGCGCTTGAAGCACACGTAGCTAGTTAGTGTACCCGCCGCCATTGTTGTTTACGTATGTTCTCGGTCAGAGTAGGCAGAGAGTTTACACCTTTTTCTTCATGCGGTGTGAAAGAGCGCCGAGAAGCATATCTGAGCTGTCCCACTCTGCAGGCTGGATCTTAACGCTTACGGTTTCAGCCCCCTGGAACACAGTCTTCGTGTGAACAGGAAGTAGCAACCGACATACAACAATAGCGTTTTACTGCCGCAGTCACTCCGTCTAAACAGGGCCGGATCTGAAGTTCTACGTTTTAAGCCAAAAACAAAGACATTCTAAATGTTTTCATACAACTGACAAAAGAAATCTTAAGAAGACGTGTTCTTCTCTTGAGAGCGAGCTTGCATTTTCACAAATCTGAACCGTAATCTTTCAAAGTTTACACATACACTACATATCTCTACAGATGATCCAAAGTGTTTTCATGTTCTGTTCTCATGCAGAGGTGAGACTAAATCTCACAGTCACACGGTGTTGCTTTAACAATGTGAAAATAGAAGATGACAAATTCAAAAGGAGAAACACAAACAAACAGAGAACTGTTCATCACAGAAGACTATAAAAAAACAAAATAAACATGGAACACTGCTGACCAACAAATACACCAATCGGGGTGAGTTTATTTAATAACATTGTTTGCAAAAAACTAAAGATTCATGTGAAAATGTGTTTCATAAACATTTTATATTTCAAAAACATTGAAAGGTTAAACACAAGGGTCTACTGATGTGTACTGTCTGTGATTGGCTCAGCAAGAATGGTTCTCTCTTTTTATTTTTCTGTCAGATATAAAGATGTGAGAGAGGCCAAAAATATGTAAAAGTGATAACTAGTGATAGAACCAAACTGTTTAAGGAGCAAGGAATGAGTTACATGGATTTTACTGCATAGTTGTTGTTGTTTTGGAAATTGGGTATCCGAGAATTAAGTTTTTAATGAGAATCATCAAATTATGCACTTTAGTTACCACAAAGCTGCTCAAATTCATGCATTTAAACTTCTGATATTAACACTATAGTACAGTATATGGTATCAGTGTAGCTGCGTGCATATAGGCTCACGCGCTGCACTGCTGCTAACAGGCTTAGCTGCTGTCTATGCGGCTGCGGTAAACAGGACGAGCTTGTGCTAATCTCCTGAAAAACAAGACATTCATTGTGGAGAGAAGGAGCTACTAATGACTTCCATCAACTTTTACTACACTTGCAGGTAGAATAGTGCTTCCAAGAGCACTTTTATGACTACATACTTTCAATATAGCTGTGTTATAGTATCAAGTAACCACAGAACCTGAATTGATTATGAATTAGAAGTATTTTTATTAACAAAAATATGCATCAATAATTCATAACTTCTATTGTTTGTATTAATTGTACAATATCTGATCATAATTGGGTTGGCATTTGAGAGATTAGGCTGTCCCTCTGAAATGTTGAATTTCACGTGGAGAAAAAAGACCTACATATTAAAGTTTATAAATCTCTCCACAGTCCTATGTATCAGTGTGTTAAGGAAAAATTACTTAAGTTACTTCTTCAAGGCAATATGCAATAAATAAATGTGCAATTAGAACATTTGAATTGTATCTATTTCTGCAGTCATCACAATGACAAACTACTTCTTGTACTCAATATATACATTTATTCACAAATATAAGTGAGTCTTGCACCATCTGGTCATCTTAATAAAAGTATAATTTTGCCTGTTCTACCTACATCGGGCAATTTATGGCTCGCATATCATGAGAATTTGCCTTTCAAACATTATAGCTGACCATAAATACCTTGAGTGCCTGTCAGCCTGTTATCAGTGGGAACTACGCTGTAGAAAACTCACAAAGTCGTAGTAATGACAAAAACAACTCCACACAGGCCAATGAAAACAGTGCACTGCCAAGTCACAAGCTGTCCCCAATAGCCAAGAGCCACGGCCACAGCTGTGCAGAGAAGAACTCATCACTAAAATACTATTGAAAAACTCATTGGTCATCGCACGGTGTCCACTTTGTTTCATTTTACTGCTGATGTCGTTCAATACTTTATTGAGCTTCACAAGAATGGAAAAAGCAAAGTAGATTTAAGTAAGAGCAATATTGACAAACATGCACCATTTCACGGTCTTAATGATCATGTTAATGCAATAAGTCACAAGGCCTAAAACGTTTTGACTAACATACAAAACAAAACATTTGCCTTTTAAACAAACCATTTGAGCTGAAAAGCTTCTGATGCGTATGAAAATGGGTGGCCGTTATGCTTCTGTCAATCTGCCTCAAGGCAGCCATGGCTACAATATTAGCTTTACCACCTTCATTTCTGAAGTGAGATGCACAAACTGTGAGCGTTTGTGACTTTTTCTCTGAAAGGGATACATAAATTAAGAATGGCCTACTCCATTCAGTGACTACATTGTAGTCCTATACTTATGCCATCACCAAAATGTAATTTTACGAGGACACTCGTTGTTTAAGTGTCCATAAACAACTTTTCATTGTTATCAGTATGGTACTTCAGATACCTCCTCTCAAAACTATAATTTAATTCTACAAAGTGCACTCATTGTTGAGAACCAAAATATAACAACAGCCATGAGCTAAAGATTTTCTACTCAAGATTAAACAAATAATGAATGAATTCTTGCAAAAAATTCTCAGACTACTTATTGTGGCCTAAACCATTTTGTTTACAGTTTGCTTAGGCTCAAATAGCTGATAAGTTCTAACCTTTGTCCCTTTCTGATGCACTGACAGAGCAGAGCTGCCTACTTCCTTTAACCAAATCAGCATCAGAGGGAAGAAAACATTCAAAAACTGTTGAGTACGGAAAGTTCCTCTTTCAAAAGAAGTTGTTGAAGGAAGTGGTGTCAAAAAGATGAAGTCATTGGTTTGTTTATGTAGATGTGTTTACAAAACTTTAACAGAAGGATTAAGAGAGGTATTTTCATTCATGAAGAAAATCATAATTCATTAAAGAAAGGTTCAAAGTCATTTAAAATATAATATTTGTTTTTGGTCTAGGACTGTGCAAGTCATTGCATGTATTATTGAGACTTTAATAATGTCTTGCAATAACACAATCGTCAAAATACAAGTATTTACCCGTAACATCCTTTGAGAATGATACAGTTGAGTCTTGGAATCACTCAAAGAAACTGTCTATTATACCATAATATCATGGGGTTTAAATTTAAATAAATGATACAAAATAATAAACAATTATGAATAATTAATCAACCATTGTGACAACATTTGATACATGTTTGAGTGTTGGTTGAAAGGTTGTTTATGAAGTCACAATGGGAAGGAGTGGATGATGTGCAGGATCCTGATAATATAATATCCATACAAACCAACATGAATGTTCTAAAACATAACTGTAAAAGATCTCAGCTGAAGGTTAAAAGTCCGGGGAAAAAATGCCAGATGACTGCACAAGCGAATGATTAATAGGCATACAACTATTTTTGGGAAGCTTTTGTATTTTAAAATAAACTATATTTTTTGATTTTCTCTAAAAGAACATTCAAAATAACAATCTTATATTTATCTTATGATCAGTCCAACTCAATGTAGTCATGTCAAGAAAAAGATGTATCTGGAAATTAGCCTATAGATGTATTTTATTATGTCTTTGCAAAACCATATACATGTGAAGAATCGTTGAATTACTATTATTTCCAACCAAACCAAGTCAAAATGTTGAAATAAGCTTTCTATAACTTGTATGAAAATTCTACCTAGGAAAAAAGGGAAAGTCTTTTACAATGACAAAATGCAAATCCAACAGAGTACATTATGTGTAAACCCATGTTATGTAGGATGAAAGAGCATTACCACGGACAGTAAATGAACTTGTTTACGTGAGAAATGAGTAACTTACTTTCTCCGTCCGCAGGGTGACAGCTCAGTACACAGACAGCGGCCACCACAACAAACACAGTCCGAAGCCACATCGCTGAACGCGGCTCTGACAGCGCCTGCACTCCGCTGCTCAGTCCACCGCAAATATACCAAATATCCCTTGTTGAAAAAACAAAAGGCTGGTTCACTGTGGCACGGGAGAAACGTGTTAAGGAAATGGCTTTTGCGTAGCGGGTGACAGGTAAATAAAACAAAATAAAAGCTGTGATCTCCCAGAAAATGGGCGGAGGAACGTGCCCAACGTGCTCAGTCCGACACACGCTAACATGCAAGCTAGCGAAGGATAAAAACACTCCCCGAACAAAAATATCACTTTTAAGACGAATTGGGAAAATGTCTGCAGCTTTAGAACAAGCTGCCGACTTAAATGTCCAAGTTAATTTCATCCATGTTGACAAATGTAGGACTTATCTTGACACAGTTTAAGCTAATGTCAGTAGCTAGCTTAGCAAACGCCACTCGCGCTTCTAGTCTTGTGAATAGACAGGCCACACGCAAAGTTTTCTCTGCTCTGAATTCAGCCCTTATAAAACAACTTTCAGCACATTGTACCTCACGCAAATAGTCTGGGTATTTCGTTTTGTGTTGTCGATGTCGTAAAGCTTGGCAGTGAGGCGAGACATCGATAAAAGTGAACTTAAATGTGCCTCCTCCCCTGGCTGTTGCTGACGCGATAGTTGTTATTATGGTAGGATTGCGCTGCTTTCCATAAAAATGCGATCCTGTTCACCGCAGAGGATGGTATACTTTGTTACGATCCTGCGTAGTCCATAAACCTCATCTTTCGACGTAAAGGCATCTCATCGCCGTCCAGTCATTGCAGAGATTGCAATAGACTCGCCAGTCAGCAATGTTTGGGAATAGAAAAATCTCCCAAATTATGTCCGCATGTCACGAAGAGTAAAGTAAAAAGCACGTTGAATTTGTTCTCGTTTGTTTTTGTTTTGTTGCAGAGCGCCTGAGAGGTAGATTGCACGTCTCATGCATGCACAGGTTTTCCCAAAGCCTTGTCTACGCCAGTAAACAAACCGAGCCAGAGGAAGGGCGACATGGGAAACACGGAGTGGATCCTCACTGCGGGCCACACAGAGAGCCATCCCCACGTATTGTACTCGTATGATATATCGCAAAGGATTTTAGTGGTTTGGAATGGTGTTGTATAAATGATGGAACATAAAGAAAATAGTAATATGTTGGGAAATGTACAATATGGGACCATATGTGTGCAGTGTCACGTCACCCAGAGCCATCCTGCTAACATGTACACTAGTTTCATCACTGTAAATATTTGAACACAGCTCAGAGCTAATGAATTATTACGAGTGTATTACAGATTTATTTGTAAAAGTGTATATATTTATATAAAAGTATATATATTTTTCATTAGAGTATATAGGTTTATATTTTATATGTGCATTTCATACTTTGTTTATTTAACTAAAGATTGAGATTTTATTCATTTGTATTTATTCAGTTAATATCCACTCGTGCTGTGTGCTCCTCATTCCTGCTGTTCTGTTACTTGTGATGCAACACTGACATTTCCCCACTGGAACACAAAAGGATCTCTTTTTTTTTAAATGTAAAAATAATAAAATTATATATATATATATATATATATATATATATATATATATATATATATATATATATATATATATATATATACATTTCTAAGGATATATTTGAGCCCGATGAGGTTATTGTCAACACATTCACATTGATACAATGCCACTTTGTCTTTCTAAACCACTGTAGAAAATCAAATTGCTTTTGGTATACTGTACTATATAACGTAACATAAATACATATTTAAAACAATTTTCACTCAATTAAAAAATCAACAAATTAAAATGTTTATCCAAAATAAAACCATGATTCATCAAATCATTCATTCATTTTTGTCACTATAGAGAGTTTAATATCTATCCATACAGTATGTAAGCATACAGATGGTTAGTATATTAGGTCTTTCTAAGAGGAAATGTTGTCTTCCTTCTAAAGCAGAGCTCTTCTTTTATAATTCTCACACTCAGGCAAAGAGTCTTATGAGAACAAAACATTGCATGATTCATTTTCACACGATGCTCATTCATACATCCAAGAATATCCTTCTCTGTTCTTCATGGTTGTTTTTGTCCATTAACGTGGCTGATTCACAACCTGTTTACAAAAAACTGATATCAAAGCTGCAATGTAATAATGTCTTGTTTTTCCTTTGGCTAATTTTGGCACAAAACACGGAAACAGGAAAATAGCCTGTATGTGGCTCTCAGATAAAACAATTTTTTTGCCAAAAATTATATTTACTTAGAACAAATATCAATTTACTGTTACATAATTGTTGACGGTGAAGTCTGACTTTTAACTGTACTGTCACATGGTAAAGTCAAAAAGCCCAAACCTGTTTTCAAGTCACCCTGCAATTAGTAATAGAAATATCCTTTTTTCAATGAGCTCTGTAAGAATAAGCCTTTTCATGAACATGAATGAGCTGTTGTGTTTTATTTCTCCAGAGGCCATATGCAAATCTGAGCATACAATGTATGGCCGAGACTGGTCTAATACAACTGGGACCTGTTGTCAGTGTGCTTATAAATGTAATTGAGTGTTTTGAACATCCAATTCATTTGGATTCGTTGTCTGAAATTGTAAATCCCTACGCATGCCCTATATGAATATAAACCTGCTAACTAGAAAGATAAACTCTAAAGATAGATATAAAACATAGCTTAAAAGTTCTGTATGATTTTTCCTTTGCAGGACCTCTACCATAGAGGTGTTTTCTAATGATCAGCTACATCGTTCATTCTCTTTTGTGTCTGAAATAATAATTAAAGCAGAGAAAATGGGACCTTTAAGGAAAAGGACAAAAATTTGAGGCAAAATCGACAAGCCAGACTTTTATAGTGATATGTTTGAGTGAGCGGTCCAGTGTGGTCAGTGACCGAGCTGTGATAATGAGATTTAAGTATCTGGGTAAAGCTGAACATTAGATCAGCTGACAAGTAAAGAACAGATTTCATTTCATCTTTGGATTATACGTTCATCAACGTGTCGGCTACTTAAAGATGAATGGGGTTCAAAGTATAAAATGTTATTAAAGGATTTTGAATGACTGAATTAAAAAGATATGGTCAGTTTAAATCCTGACTTTGAGAGTGCATACCTTTTTATTTGTTTTATCCTTTTTGCTAGTGTTAACAGAAGTCGCATTTTGTGAACAAATCAGACCACAAAATGCTATCTTACTATGAAAATTGTATCTTTTACATACTGAGAGCTAATTGGCTGATCTAAAGATGTGTCCAAGGCCAAAAAAACATGCATGTGAAAACTAGTGAACCATACTGTTTTGAGAGCTATAGGAGCTAGTAACATAGAATTGATTTCACAGTTACAATTGTGTAGTTTAGAAATACTCTAGCTAAAAAAAGGGGGTTATTGTCTCATTATGTGGCTCTCCCATTAGCAGTACCTTAACCACAAAGTCAGAATCTAAGTCTTTGCAATTAGCACTTAAAATACACATTGGAATATTTGTGCACCTGAGAAAAAAGTCCTGTTAAGACTCTGGACTATTGATGCTTTATTGGAGGAGGTAGAACTGAGCTGCTCACATGTGACATAATCGCTGACAGGGATGGGGGTTGTTTTCCAGCTCCAGGGTCTGGATGAACAGATACTCTCAATTATCAATAATCCAGTTATTTTAAGAAATATATTTAATCTGTTGCAATATGTTGAAAGCTGGAGTATATTTGAAACTACCAAAAAGAACTATGTAATCAAATCCATGTAACTAGTTCTGTAGTAACCCAGCTCTCAAAATGGTTGGGTTCAATCACTATTTTTCACTTGCATGTATTTTTGACCTCATCTGAGCCTTTTCCATGAGTACCGACCTTCACTTAGCAAATCGAAGATACAAGGTTTTCTAACGAGATAAACACAGCAACTGCAAGTGCAAACCAGACTATTTATGTGGGTCTCCCTGAGGTTTCTCACTGTTTTTCGTTTCCAACTAGAAGGACTGTGGTGATGATCCAGGACACTTTAACATTCTACAACATGTATGGACATTTATCAACATTCATGGACATTGGTCTCTTCCTATGGACCAATACATATGTGTATTTTTTGTGTCTTTACTGTTGATTCTCTGATCTGTGTTGGTAATTTCAATGGTTTTGTTAAGTCCTCTGAGATGACTGCTGTTGTGATTTAGGGCTATACAAGAATAAGTTGTTGTTGTTGTTGTTATTTCTATTGGAACAAATGTAACTATGGAACCAAAAAGTTACATACTCCAGCTTTAAGTTAAGTGACAGTGGCTAAAGTGGGAGAGCATTCAATATATGTGCTGTTGCTTGTTCCCAGCACATTCATGTTTGTCCTTGTGCAAGGCCCTGTCCAGTATGAATGGAGAGTATTAGTGATTATAGCTGTAGTGTTATAGGCTGGCAATGACCCGGAACATTGATTTACGTCTGCTGTAGAAGTAAAGAAACTAAATTAATATCACTTTTGTTGTTGTTGTTGCTCATGTAAGAAATAAAATAGAATAAAGACGATTGCACTAAAGGTTAGCACTATAGTCAAAACACAATCTATTTATTTTTGTACTGCCCAAGATCAGAGCAACTTGAAGGTCTCAGCAGATTATTGAAGATTCTAAAATGAAAGAAAACAGCCATTTAGCTTGTTTTGTGTGCTCCTTATTTCTACTGTCCTTTTTGTGCACTGCAATACCGACATTTCTCTAAGATTACACAAAAGGTTCCCGTATCTTATTTGAAACTCAAACAAATTAGTAGTCTATGGTCTATGATCGAACCAGTAACTAGTAGTTAATCTAAAAGACCAATGGCTCCTATACGATTGTTATTATTTAATTTCCTGTGTTTGATTCTCTGATCTGTTGTTGGTGAATTGGAAACTTTTTAAAGTCCTCCGAGACGACTAATGTTATGTTTTAGGGCAGTACAAAAATGAATTGAATTGAATGGAATCATAGTAATTAAATAATCTT